AGAGTGTTGAGAGATATTTATACTTTTCTTTATGTATATGTGTCTAAATTTTGAGTTAAAGTCCCTGAGATTTTTATATGCTATCTCTGTATAAATATTTATTTTGTTTTTACAGACCATTGATGGCTTGCATGAAAAAGGAATGGTTGAAGATGTTCACTGTAGCTCCATGAAGAGTATGCGACCTCCTCACCCTGGAATGGGCCCACCTCAGAGTCCAATGGACCAGCATAGTCAAGGTTTTTACATACTATGCATGCAATATGATTTTGGGTCCCCTTTGCACCACAGAGAATCACAAATAGCATGGAACAATTTTACACTTATTTCCTTTCTGCCTTATTTGGAAAGGATAAACTGTGATATCAGAGGGTGAGGGGAATAACTTGATCCTGTTGGTGTCTGGAGTTTTCGTCAGTCATCTACTGGATAAAAGCCAATCTTTTGGATCTAAGTCTCTCTCTCAGACAAATAAGCAGTTATAGATATCAGTTCACATCTGTAAAATATTTTTTTTCTGATATTATGTGGCTATCATAAATGTAAATGCATTAGAATATGACCTATTTTAAAAGTATACTGAAGTAATGGTAAGAGAGAAGAATCCAAGCAAACCTGGAGCAGCCTTCTTTAATATCTATCGTGTGTGGCCAGGAGCTGAGCAAAGTTCTTGCCAAAAATTGTTATCCCAGGAAACAGAAACTCATTTCATCACAGTTCTGCCTGTCTTCTTTATGTCATTTAGCTTGCAACATAAAAGGACAAGCATTCTCTAAACAACTCAGTGTGTAGGATATTTAACTGGTAACACCTGCTAGTATTAATCAGTTGAGTAGGTAAGGTTTTGTATATTGTACAATTAGTTACTATACAGCAATGCCTGAAGAGATCAACTGAAATTAGGGCTCTAGTTTTCCTCTCTCTGTACAAATCTCTTAATAGATGGTCCCTGTTTGATGTATTTACATATTTATAAGACTGGAAAAGAGAAATGGTGAAAGGAGAAAACAGATGCAGACTAGCAAAATGACTTTATTGAATTCTGTGTCTCTGAGTGGGCTGTGACTTAAACCGTAGTCTCTAATTGGTCTGTTGTATCCCTATCCTGTATCTTGAACGTTGGAAGGTACTGTTTTTTCATTACACTTTTCAGTATCAGTTAAGTGAAGCGGAACTGACTTTTGAAAGGACAAATTCTCCCTCAGATAAAACTTTTCCCAGTGATTTCCGTTGTCATGCATAAATGCTTATCTGAGAGCAAGATTTTAACTGACTTTTCATTCAGAGACGCTGATTTTTTGGTAATGAACTTGTTCCTTAGAATGAACAGAGCATTGACTCTGAAGATGAAAACTGGTCCAATTTAAACATAATGTGCTGGTAATACAAGAACAGAAGTTGCAAATGCTGCAAATACAGATAACTGTAAATTGCTTTGTTCTTTCCCATATTTGCTGAGAACCTGACTTTGAAATTGTCTTGCTCCACAACAAATAATATTAGTAATATCTGCAACAGGCTAAGAACTACAGATCTGTGCTCTTTTTTTGGTGTATGTCAGCAGCTGTTACAAGGTAAACAGAATCTTCGAGCTGTAATCTAAGCAGCCTTTTTAAAGAAGTGGTTAAAAAAGTACATATCCTACTTTATATTATTGTGGAACCTTCTCAGTTTTGTTTTCCTCTATGCCTCCTTTTTCTTTTTCCTCATTATCCTCTTACAAAAGAGGTAGAAGAGTGAGCAGAAAAGGCTCATCCTCTACATACTGAGGAAGGTCTCATCTGCTGACCCGGTAACTTCTCCCCTAAATGTAGATTTCCAAGATGAAAAGCCTACTTTCTTAATAGCCTTTCAACCTATTGGATACTTTCAATCTGATTTACCAGATTAGGGATCTAACACAATCGCATTCCTGTAAGTTTTGAGGATATAGGCAATGCAGTAAAAGAGAATGAGTGTATCAAAGCCCATATGGAGAGGCAAATGCCAATATGAGGTCTCTGAGCATTCATGGAGAGATGCGTTGTGAATCTCTTAATTCTGACAAAATCTTACTAGCATTCGGTACATTATTGGGAACCAAGACTTGGTATAATATTCCCCTCCTTGTAGATTCTCTGATGTCTGACAGCAGTTGTGTAAAATTTTAAATAAGATACAAGTCAATTAGAAAGTGTATATTATTAGTTCTAGGTGTCTGGAAACTTTTTTTCATTTGCCTGTAGGCCTTGAATTGAAGTAGGTAAATGTATGCACTAGTTAATGCTGTTATATTCCAAAGTTCAGTTGAAAGTAGCTGAGGAAGTTCAGAACCCCAGAGAATGGATAATCCTAAATTTGTGCCATTATTTTGAAAGCATAAACAGAATGGCCACAGGTCAGGAAATGACAGGCAGCCTAATACTGATTCTAGGCAAAATGAAAGGTTGATACACTAATATTTTTTAATTCCATTTGATTGGGTGTATAATTTAGGCCATTCGGAATGATTTTATGGAAAAAGCAGTCTTGTCAAAGACGACTGCTCAACAACGTTTATTATCTACCCTTATTAAGGAGATTATAAGCTTAGTTGATTTCTTAGAGTGCAAATACATGCTGTTATTGTTTTATGTGTTTGTGCAGTACTTAAAACAGTGGATTCTGGCCCACGAATGAGACCTCTCTATGCTACAGTAAAGCTAGTAGTAGTAATGATAGACACAACTTTGCCTGCCAGGTAGACTTACAAAAAGGCACTTGGCTTACCTCTGTATGACGCTCCAGTTTAGGTGAAAAATAACTCTAAGTAAAACCAATATAACCTGTATTAAACAGATTCAATTTAGCTAGTGAAGTGACAGATTATAAAAAAAGGTAAATAACAGATCAACATCTGGTTGGGGATATTTCTAGGTAGACTATATTTTAGGTATAACTATATTCTTCACATTTCTAGGCACAACTATATTCTTGGTTCAGTGTTGTTCAACATGTTTGTCAGGAATCTGGAAAAAAGCATACGATCAGCGCTGACAGAATTTGCAGGTAGCACTGAGGTTTAGCTGTAAATAACAAACAGGTAGATTACAAAGACTGGTCAGGATGCTCAGTAGAGTGGGTTTATTTCTACAGCATGGATTTTAACAGAGCCAGTTACATCGTATATGTAGGAACGTAGTTTTTGTGCAAGTGATATGAGACTCTATTACACAAAGCAGTAACACCGAAGGGAGTTTAAGTTGCCAGACTGTATTAAGTTGTCAGGCTATATTAGATGTCTACATCTTAATCAAGATGATTAACTTGATTGTCTGCTTGATTGTCTGCAGATTTGGGATATCTTTTCTACCGCTTGAAATTTAAGTCAATATTGGATGTCTTTCTAAACTGTTGTGTAGACCAAAGAAAGTGAAGGTCTTTGGTCTGTTTTAAACATGTTATATAGACTATAGTAATTGTAATGATCTCTTATTGCAAGAAATCTGTGTATCTGTAAACAGGATCCAGGACTCTGAGGAGAAGTGGTAAGCTAGAGGAGGACAGAACGTTTTGAATTTTTGGATACTGGGAAGATGAATAGTGTTCATGAAATGCTGATGTTCTCTGAGTAGAGCAGTTGTGATAAATACACAGGCAGTAGTCCTTCCACATGTAGTTTACAATTAAAATTGAGAACAAAATCAGGTTTCATTTAAATGTTGAATGTTCTAGTAATGTACTCATTTCAGTAGGGTTTTTTTTCCCTCTTTAGAAAAAGGGCTTGCAAAAGAGTGTTTCTAAGTACAAAGGGCATTTTTAAGTGGATACATTTATGTATCTCTTCAGAAAATGTAGCAAGGACATTGTGGATGTAAAATGTATGCTTACAAATCTGGGTAGGTAATTAGAAACACACAGGCCAATTGTACATGCCGTTGTGGATGTAATCTATATAAATTGCACACAGAGTTGTGGTGAACAATTTTGAAATGAGGACCAGCAAACTTATTAGCTAGAAAAGAGTAATTTCCACTGAAATTGATACAGAACTCTGAGAGTAATGATTCTTGCAGTCTGCAGTAAGAAACAGTAAGCTGACATTTTTTGAGGTAGTGGGGCTTACTTTGATCAGCAGATCAAAAGCATTTGTAAAAGCTAAATCTGCAACAACTTTGTCATTCTGCTGGTAAATGTATATTTACTGTCTTTCCGAGATTTTTGCTTTTTTTAACTGAAGATGATTACTAAAATAAGCTATGCAGCTTTATTATTTAGATTTTATTAATTGGTATTCAGCTGAATACTAGTCATGCAGAAGGTTTCTCCCTTACTAGTTGAGACAGATTGTCACATTTTTAATACAGTCATATCGTGACAGAATGGTTTTCCAAACATCTGACATTAAGTTATTGGGAGGGAGAAGCTCCTGAATTGGAATTTGTCTCTCCAGCAGTTCTTCCTTTCGCCTTTTGTGGCCAAATTGAAGAAGGGGTACCGTTACGGACTGTTTCAAGTGACCAATTTTCTTTTCTTGAACTCATGCATAATGATGATGTTCCTGTTTAGTCTTATTACCTTTCTTTTAATATTAACAGGTTAAACAGAAAAGAGAATCCATTGCTTTGAGTTCATATTTCACTGTTTAAATAGTAATCTTACTAGATTTAAATTAGTTTGGACTACATTAGAAACTGTGTTCATCTTCTGTGAAAGAGCTATGCTGAAAATACCAATATTGATGTTAGATGCATGGAATTTAGTGCTATTTGCTAAACTGCTAAACAGAGTTATCCAGAAAATGAAAACTACGTTAACTGCGTTTAGCTTTTGTTTTTAAGAGGAATGAGGAGAAATCGCAGAGACAAGCAAAGTACTTATCTGGCTGTGGTTATTTTTTTTTTGGAGAGAATTCATAGAAAGATGTAAACGACCTGAAACAAACAATTTCCTGTGTTTTCCTGGAATTTGGAACAAATCGAACTGTGACACAGCAATGATACAGACAGTTTGAACAATTTGGGTGGCTTTACTCAACAGTTGGTAAGTGCAGACATAAGCACTGATGGTATTTAAGGTTCTAGGGCTTAATGGTGTGTATTTCCAGTCACCATGCAGTGTTTGTTGAACTTTTTATTATGAGGATGCATCAGTTCAGGTTAACTTACAGAATTCACCAACTTATTTCTACTTCACAAAGAATAGTCATTGTTGCTACTGTTCTTAAAATAGTTGCAGTTTCTTTTCTGATTTTTTTCAGCCTTTTAAAGATGAGAAAAAATTTGTTAGGTTAACTAATCTATCTGCATGCCAGTGTAAGACCTCTCAGTAGTTTATTTCTGCACTCCTCCTTTTAAATGACTCGTACACATGGAGCCTCCATTCTCTTAGTTGAGAGTTTCACAAGAACTGCTGTTAACACTGGCCACATTGCTAATACGGAAATTTTACACTTAGCTTACCCTACGAAAATCTTTTTGTAGCCCCAGTCAACCCTGAACATATTTCTCACTGTTTGTTCTAAAATTGTATGCTTTCTCACTAGGTATTTTGAGCACCAGCTTCGTTCTTTTTTTTTTTTTTTTTTTTCCCCGAACTACCTTTAACTGAACTGATGGCTGAAGTGATAGTCAGCCTAAGTGGATTACTGAAATAAATTTCTTCAATTCTATCTATATCTTCATCCTCTTCCAAAAGATTTGCTTACATTTTTGAATAAAATTCTCCACTTACTCTCTGCGGTAGCAGAGCTAGTAGGAACTGAAATTTTTACATATATGATCCACAAATACCTTGCTCATTTAAGACTTCTTAATTTTGAGGGGGAATTAAGACCTCTGACTTGAACATTGTTGAATGTTCCGCTCTTTGAAGTGGTAAAATCTTGAATGCATTTATCTAGTGTTCTCTGTCAGTGTGTGGAATTCCTAGATGTCCTCCTCTGTTTAATGCCAATGTCAAAAGGGGAAAAAAAGCTTTTCTCTGTTTTCAAATCCCCTCTTCTTAAGCTTTGGAACAAATGAAGGAGATGTTCTCTTTGCATCTGCTAACTAAATTGAAATTAAAAAGAGTTCAAGCAGGGACTTTTTATGCAATCTACTCTACAGAAATACTTGTGTTTGAGAAAGTGTTAGAACCAATATTCACCAATATTCATCACTGTGAATACTGAAAATTTTCTGAATATTTATTGTGAGGATTCCTGCGTGCCACAAAAAATGGATCTGAAATGCTTTATAATAGCAAAGTTGAAAAAGAAGCCCGGGCTCTTCTTGTCTGTATCTTAAACATTCTTAAGCCCTGTATCTTTTTTTTGTTTGTTTTTTGTTTTTACATATACTAGTTAACTTGTTAGTTCATCCATCGTTGCATGTCCTTATTCTGATCCTATTTGTGCATCCTCACCTGTTAGTAGAGCGTGTGTAGTAAGTATGGGAAAAAAAATGATATAGAGACTTTATTAGGTCTGACTTGTGACCGCCTGTAGTCACACTGGTAAATCTTCTGAGAAGTTTTGAACTTAAAAGAAAACTTCCATATAGCATCACAAAATGTAGATTCTGTAAATGCCACATTGTACAGCTTTTACAAGAAGTTTGGAAGCCTTTTGTCCTTTTCTCAAATGTTTAACTGGAGTTTTGTTTTAATCCTTACTCTTGCAAATCCTACTTTCCTAATCACCAAGAATCCTCATGCGTAGGACTTTAAGGGAGAGAGAAAGTGTAATTAATAAATGTCTAGAAACTTTAAAAAGAAGTCTGCTTCTGAAAACTCCTCAGTAACTAACTAAGTCAAAGATTGACTTACAGCTAGAATTGTCGAGATTAAAAACAAGTGCTCAATATCTCAGCCTACCTTTCTGACTTTCGGTTTGGTAGTTCAGATGGGTTTCAAGATCCTGAATCTTCAATCTCTCAGTGATTCAGAACTGTACAACATGGACAAATGTAATGTTGAAGTGGAAAGAAACTTTTCTGTGAAAGGCAGTTTTGAAAACAGTGTAATTCAGTGTAGCTGTTATTTAAAGCAAGTTCTGAGATTTAGAAATTTAATAATAATGAATAAACCTTGCAATAAATCTCAGGTTTTTAAAGTATAGAGTCATAACACAGTTTTATATTTTGCTTTTTGTTATGGCACAGTGTTTGTTCTTTTAAAGCAATGTGTTCAGCAAGAGGGATTTGTAGCTTCTTCCCTTTCTTAATGAATAAATTTGAAAAAAATTCCTAGGCAAAAGCAAGTTAGTAGGAGGAGATTAACAAATGAAATAAACTTATGGTTATTTATCAGAGCTTTTTTCATCACCAGTGGATGTATAAACAATTTTTATATTGACCTAGTAAATATCTTCAATAATTCTAATTTTTTAAGGTCCCTTACTTGCTTTCCCTTGATTTCCTCAGCTCATTCACCCTATTTTTCTCTTACATTGCTTAATCTTATTCCCATCAGAGTCATCTGTCTGTATGTTCTTTAGCTATAAGACTGAATTCAGTCTTATTTCGATCCA